GGGCCCTCCTCTCTTACCTGCCTTATCAGGAATCTACTCACTACTATCTTCAAGCACTTAAGACCAGGATGAGAAAATTATAAAAATCACAGTGGGGAGGCCACCAAGGCCACAAAGAGTGATTCTGCTATCTTCAGAGAATGGGATGGGAAGACTCTTATGAAGAACATTTGATGACCTTTCCACACTGGTAGCTGTTACTCTGAATGTGACGTACCTAATAATCTTGTTAAGTGGAAAAACTGAATATATTGGTGTGATACTATTCACTGGGCCTACAAGTTAAATCCCCACCTTGGGAACCACGTTCCTATCTCTACCATCACCTCCCATGTCAATCTCTCCTGAAAGTCTGCACTAAACCATGACCACAGACCATACCCCGGGCTAACCAGCCTTTTTACCTGCCCGACATTGGGTCCTCAGGACAAATACAGAGACAGTGTGGCTTAAACCCTGCATATGGAAAGGTTAACAGCACGGGTCCTGAGAATGTTTTAGAAGGAACATCAAATGTGTAAGGAGAAGATAGTTTACTAAGATGAAAGAAAAACCAGCAATAATAATTAGAAAGGCCTTCACTTCAACCATGTCATGACATAAATAATCAGATGTGCCATTTACAGCTTAGTTCATCTGACCCTCCTTCCATACAAACTCTTAACTTTGGCAACTTCCAAAGAATGTAAGAGGAAAATGAAATACTTGTGGTAATTTTTTTAAAACCTCATATGTTTCTGTTTACACAAAACCTCTCCAATATTAAGAAAATGTTTAACAAGGTTTTATACATACAAACAACATAACAACATAAACAATCTAGTTGGTAATTTCTGAATTAACTTTGTGTATGAACACATTAAATAAGTATCACGTAAGATGCCAGGAGGAAGGTATTTCCTCATCTTTGAAAACTGTTATGTCACAACAATCTGTAAAGTTATATATATTATTTTAAAAAGTTTGGACTTCCAGACTCACACAGGGATCCTTCTTTCAGTCAATGTTTAAATCCTTTTGATGGTAAGTTTTGATCTTCCAAACAGAAAATGCTTCACTTTGAATGGTTACACTGTGTTTGAAGAGACATTACGCTACAGTTACTTTCTTTTGCACCCAGGTGATGATCATCACAACTGGTTAAAATAAATTCTACAATAAAATATTTTATGTTTTCACCTTCTACTCTCTAAAAGGTCAACAAATTGTATATTTCTGGGTTTTTTTAATTAAAAGAATTCCAAGAAAATTTGTAAAAGGAAAAATTTTAGTTAATATTATCCCATTAGTAGTTTTAGAAATTTGGGGGGTATTTATTCTTTGGTAACCAAAAAAGGGGAACTAAGCACTGTAATAAAATGTCATATTTGAATATTCTGTTGTAAAATATACTACATGAACAAGAGCCCTTTTTGAAGACTGTATATACTGGATTTAAATATAAATTACATCCCATTAAAGTTAAAATAAAATCAAGGTTTATGTGATTAGAAAGACAGCTTTTAAAATATACTTATATTCAATAAAAAGAGAAGAAACATTTCAAAGCTATCAAAGAAATTCCTATTTCTTTTTGAAAGGTTAGGTGATATATTGCTTTATATACGCAACTGAACTATAAAAATGTGTATTTGGCAGAAAAATTAGAGTACTTTAAATTATATCAACACAAGAATGCAAGCTGCCAAGTGCCTGTCATGAAAACTACTTCTATGTTACCTGAAACATTAGATACATCCTTACTCATTCCCAAAACACTTAATCTGTGTCTTTCATATTATAATCTAAAAGTTGGTCATATCAGAGGAGACCCATCAGACTTCCAGGTCTGCTCTCTGTCTGTGTTATTAATATAAATCTCTTATGTGAGAACCTATTATCTGATGAGGGAGGAAGGGAAGAAACAGAATTCTACTCTAATTTCTTTGTTGGATAAATAATTTTCCAAAAATAGGTGGTGGGGAAAGAGGAAGGTGGAGTCCCTATACCAAACTTCTTAACTTAGGGATGTTTTAGTTTTACCAGTTTATGTTTTATTTTTTAAGGAATATTTAATTTATGTGGCAAATTATTTTGCTTGAGATTCCTATTTTCTGGATATGTTCGAGATATGCCAAGGCCCTTAGAGGGAGGAAATAAACCAACAGTGAAGATGAATTCCACCCACACTCAAGAGTTTTGCCCGAGGACTCCAGCGTTAAAGCCTGAAGAAGGTGGTGTTACCAGGGCTTCTGATTTTGTTTACTGGCATCCAGACCTCTAGTACAAATACAAATGTAAATATAAGTAATGTGGGGCTTCTCCATTCATTTTTGACTTAGGTTGATAATAACCGAACCCCTGAAATTTCAGAGGCATCTTCCATACATTTTCCTCCATGCAAACTTGACTTATGCTAATATGCTGGGAATCAAATAAAGAATAAAATCATAATGAGGCATCCAGGAGAGGAGGGGATGAGAAGGAATTGGGGACTGGGTTGGGGAGAAGAAGAGCACAGGGACTATGGTGATGGACTACGGGTGCTTTGGTGGTGGGGGAACAACTGTGGCCACATCTGAGTTTTGGGCATGTTTTGTCCAAAACTTAACAACCTTGCAAGAGAAGAGTAAATTAATTAATTAATTAATTAACAGTATGAGCTGCTTCTGAGGAGACCCTGAACAAAATAATAATAATAAAATCATACTAACAGAAGCAATCACTGTAAGAAAAGTTAACTGGTTAATTTAATATTTTTAATTAGTGAAGCCATTATTACAAATTCAGTGCTTAAACATCTCCCTATGTTTTGGTCCACCTGTAAACTTTTTTGCAGAAAATATTTATTGACATTTAGAAATTTCCCAATAAATCAAACTTTTCCTAAAACCCAACCTATGGATTATTATTTAAAATTATAAAAATAAAAGACTGTTAACTTTCAGTTTTTCTTCATTATGCTATTCTATAATTTAGCAACGGGCGTGATAACATCAAGTTATTCCAAACATTTAAGGACCAAATGAGGCAAATGGCAAGATTTAGCTAAAAGTCTCTACCCAACACACAGGCTACAGAACAAATAGCTTTCAAATGCCTTTAAAAATACCCATAAACACAACAAGTTCTACACAACTTCTGAGTCCAGGGGTTGATGATACAATATTTAAAGAAAATTCAAATGGAAATTCACATCTTTGAGAATAAAAACACTAGCTTCCTATTTAATTTTCATAGAAATATACTGTCTCTGCACAGGTCATATTTACTATACACTAGAGGTTTAATTTGGACAAGGTTAACTGGATTTGCTTCTACTCACAAATAAAGAATATCTAAATATAAGAACAAACAATACTCTCCCAGTAAAATAAAACCTAGTAAAAATGGAAAATAAAAGTAAACATTTATAAAAATTATTCAAAAGGCAAAAAAGAGAAAATTATATACACACACACACGCATGTATTAATACAGACACAAAATATCCAACTGAAGACATTACAGTAAAAAGATAAATCTTGGAACAGTATTTTTAAGAAGTAGCGCATAAAAGTACTGTATGTTAAAAAATAAAAAGCCTTTAATAAAATTAATACTTTTACACATACATACACACACATACACATACCTCCTTTATATTCACCACACATTTATACTGAAACCAGTTGGAGGAAAGTTATTAAAAAGACGACTTTATGCAATCTTTAGTGAAAATTTATCACAAATTTTAAATAAAATCCCTAATCATATCAAATTGTTAATTTCTAAGCTGCCAAAAATCAAACAAATTTGAGTGTGTATTCAGATTCCATTAGAATCACATTTATTTCATTTTCAATTTACACACATTTTATCCCACAGTAAAAATGTGCAGGCCTCAGATTTTAAAATTCCTTCAACAGCAAGTCAGGTGGATATGTCTAAGTTCCTTTCAGTTGAATGAGTTGTCAGTGAAAATTCATTACACTTGAAAACAATGCAATATTCTGGTTAAACTTTAAGCTTTCTGATGTCACAATACCTGTGGCATTCTATGACAAGTGTTTTTTCCTTCTGCCCAGATTTAATGGAGCAAGAACAAGCAGGCTTTTGAATCAGTGCTCCACTTTAAGTGTTTGCTGCTTGCAAGATTTATACTCGACTGCAGTTTGGCTCTCTTAAAATGTAATTCCTGGGCTATAAGCTTCTGCAAACTGACAGAAATAACAGGAGATGTGAAATAATGCAACAATACTAAAAACAGATGTTGGTGTAAAATTCCAGGACCATTTATTTGCTCATTTCACCTTTTAATGTACAAAGTCTATGCTGAAAACATAGAACTTTTCTTATTCTCTTAAAATACCTAGAACCGTGAAACATTTAGAGAAGATGAAGTAGGAAATTTATGGGATGGGGGCTTAAAGAGGTGGGAAGATGAGAGACTTTCAGAAGTGAAAAATGCACCTTAATCCATGTTACCTTTTCTCAATAGTCCTACATCATCCTTTTTCTCATTCTCATTTTCTTTTAATTTATTCTAGTGATAATGCCAAATAGACAAGTTATAGGTCAGAGTTATGATGACTTCTGGATAAGAAAGGAAATAATAAGAACAAGAACAACTGTTCTTAGGCACAATAACTTTGGTGCCCAAGAAAGCAATAAATATTTTCCCCCTAATCCTTACCAAGAAATAACTTACCCAAACATCCTGGCTTTGGAGAAATAAGAGTTGCATTTTAGGCTATATTCATTGTAATATAAATCTGAATCTGATTCAAAAATCAGAGTAGTGGTTATTAAATTTTTTCTTAAAGAAGGAGCCACGAGGTTACTAGAAGCAACACGAAGTACCGCTTTCTTTAAAAGTCACATTAATATTCCTGCAATGAATTTTTTATTTCCTTGATTCCTGGGAATGATCCAAAAGCCACCACAAAGTAATAGGACCTCTCATTTGACTACAACATCTGCTTAAAAAGTAAAAATAAACAACAAGATTTGATTAATCTGTATTCTTATTAACAAACTTACATGATTTTCTGTTGGAAATTTTCAGTGGCTGAGCTAGTATTTCTGGCCGTCTCAATGCCAATCTCCTGAGGGAAAATAAGGTCAATAAGCCTTTGAATTATCAGTACAGATCCAAGATTAATATAACTACAAAGAATTAAAAAGTTTTAAGGAAAAAACTGAAAATTTGCGGAGAATTGAATACAACAAAATCAATTCAAATTAAGAAATAAACCCTCTACTTTCCAATTTTTGTAAGTTATCTCACTCCAAGATCTCTCTTCTTTTTTTGTTGTTCAAATCAATACAGTTTCAAATATTACCAAGCTATTTTCCATTTGCTTTATAACAAAAACTTACAGGCCTAGTGCTGTTATATTATTTTGGATCATTATTCATACTTAGGCCAAAACCAAAATCCACGCTGAGGGATCAAGGATCGGAAGGCAAAGTTTCAGCGCTTATTTTATCACAGCAATGCTGGGATGACATTTTGCAGAGAACGAAAGGTCAGCTGAAGAACGGCCACGCTGACGAGCCAGCAGCTCACCTTTCCTGGAAATGCTTGGAGGGAATCAAGCCTGCCCGGGGATTGGCATCACCTTCATGCTTCGCTTGCCACCAGGTTGCATCATCTTGGCACATTATCTGAAGAATATCTCCCTTTTTGAAAGAAAGTCCAGCTTCCTTACATGGAATTGCTTTATCCTCATTAGGGTCGTAGTCAAAGAGGGCTTTGATAAACACCTAAAAGGAGGTTTCATTTAGAATAAATATGAAAAATAAGTGTGAAACGGCCCACATCCTTCCAACTCTGATTTAAGAGCTAATAATTTTTAAAAATAGACTATTCATCCTGTTGTGTTTAAAGAGGATAGATGGAAAAACATCAGCACCCCCACAAAGGTTTTTAAGCAATGATTACCTTTCCTTCTTTAGATGGTGTTTCCTCTTTGATGCTGGGTATAATCTTAAACGTAATTGCTCCCTGAGACTGCGCCTGATATCAAAGGAAAGAAAGACTTAGGATTTCTAGAGCCAAGGAGAAAGAAGAGAAAATAGGTAGAAAACCAAAACATCTGAAAATTTACAAGCCTGGGGTTTCTACTCTTAGATAGACCAAACGGAGGAAACTGTTTTTGTAGAAATTCCTGTAATTTGAGAAAGCACTAAAGTCTGTCAAATAAGTTAAAAACCTTTAACCACTAAATCTACTTTTACCTCTGATCTATTTCTGAAATGCCAATAAATACATTACCATCCATGTCCAGTTACTTCAAAATGAAGATGCACAGTGCTTAAAACACAGACATGTTAAATGGCGAGGACGGATAACAAACAAGGTACAGGGGAGACCACACTCAGGGTCCAGCAAGAGGCCGTGCAGCCACACACCAGCCTCACCCCCTCCACATAGTCACAAGTAAACTGCAGCAAATAAACCCCTGAAAGATAAGTGACGACCACAGCAAGCAACGGAGCAAAGGCTCAGCACAAATGGGCAGGAAAAAGCTTGACTAAACTGTGTTTGCAGTCATAGCCGGGCAGACAACTCAAGACAAGGAGGGAGGACAGCTGCGGTTAGCAAGCCCCACCCCCACCCGGCCCCCACCACCCCCACCCCCGCCCCAGCTGTGCTTGTTCACCCAGGGGCAAGAACACACATCAGGGACTTTGGAGACCCAGCTCTGTGTTGGCTAAGGGAGGGCATAGAGCTGGTGTCCAGGGCTCTAGGTGCACTCTTGGAAAACTAAAAGACGAGCAAGAGGGCAGAGAGATGATCACTGGCTGATCCTGAGGCTCCGAATACAAAGAGCTGAAGCCTGAACCGGCCAGGGGAGAACCACAGGGATCATCTGGGTCTCCTCAGACAAGGCTATTGTTTGAGGCTGTGATATTCAAAACACCTGCCCCCGCCCCCACCCCTGACCAAAACAGGACAAATGAACCCTTTCATTAGCCAGAGTTAAGCATCTAGATCTTAACAACAGGAGCAAGCACCCCAGGGTGAGGCTCTGTACTGAAAAACAGAACAACTCCCGGCTTGCTGTCCCATCTCAACTACAGTCCACACTCAGTGCTACATCCAGTGCTTGAACACAGCCTAGGGGCTGAGGCTGGCGCGAGGTGACAGGCAGACTGGGGAGCTGGTCTGGAGAAGGCTCCCCACCACACAACTCCACTACCCACTGCACAAGCAGGAAAGCTGCATCCCACACTCACTGCAGGGAGCCCTTCAGCGCCCTACTGTCCCAGTTCCTTTCTACCTGTCGTCCCTTCCTGGGACCAGTTCTCCAGCTACCAGGCAGGTGAAAAGGCTGCACTCTGAAAGCTTATCCCTGCCACAACCTGTAAGAGCTGAAAATGAAAGACAAAAGATCATCTCAAGTATTGGAGCAAAAAACCCCTGAGAGAAGCCTCAGTCCAACAGAACTGCAGAATATCCCTGAAGAGGAGCTCAAGATCACAGCTAGAGCAACACCTCCTGAATTATAAAAACCACCACAAACAATGGATGCTGTAAAACAGCAGCAGAATAAAGACCCAAGAAAATGAGACTGTTACAATCATCCTATGACATTTAAGTATAAGGAGCCATGTTTTTAGGGACTAAATCCCTATACTGGCATATAAATGATTCATTATGTATTCATTATTTTATAATGCTCAGCTGAAAAATAATAAGGAATGTTTATCTCTATAGAAGACTGGCTAATGAATAAAATACCAAATGTAATAGATTGATTAGAAGATCAAGAGAGTGAGGAATTAAAACAGGCACCACCACCAGGCACAATTCTTTGATGACTATGTCAGACAAGGTTAGGTCTCCCTTTGATCCAGTCTCCTGCCATTCTCTATTTCTCTCTCTTTTCAGCATTTATCATACCCATATCTAGATATTTATGTGCATTATTTAATGTCTTTTACCCCTGCAAAATTGTAAGCTCCATAAAAGCACTAAATACCTGTCATTTATTGAAGAGGAATGAGGATGGAAGCAAGAGGGAACAAGGAGGAGGACAGGCAGATGGGACAGGAAGCAGAAGATGAAGGAGAAAGGAAAGAATGGACCCGTTTCTGAGGCTCATTGTCAGTGGTGCGATGGTGAACCCAGACAGCATTTTTGTAAAATAGGTCCTGATTTGGACTGCTTGATAATCGCCAAGGTAGAAGCACTTCCACTACAGCTGACACCAGTTTCCCAGTGTAACATCACTGAAGGCCAAGCTGGGAAGAGCTGCATAGAGTCAACTCTTGGGAGCATAAGGAGGCTGCTCCAGTACAGCACAGCTTTAAGTGAAATGGGGTCGTTACAGTGTAAATATCAGAATTTTATAAAGGACTTGTTTATTTCAAAATGGCATTATTGTTGCTATTGCTTACTGTCAAAGAAATTCACAGATTTTAGTAAGAATTCACAAAACACTTAATTCCATAGACAGAGCAGAAGTCTTCCCTATAATCTTTTTTTTAAAGATTTATTTATTTATTTATGCAAGCACTGGGTACAGTCAGGAGCGGGAGGGTGAGAGAATTCACCGGAGCCAGAGCGGGGAGCAGAGCAGGCAGAGGGACCGAAGTACACGGCTGAGGGGAGCAGCAGACAGCAGGAGACGTCTGCACGCCATGTGGGACCCTCCTCCAGTGGCCGGGGAGCAGCCGGGGATCGAACTGGCACTGCAGAGGCTGCAGGCAGCTTCGCAACCCAGCGCTCAACCGCTGCGCCACCGGGGAGGCCCATTCGCTATCTTTTTGCATTCTTCGTGTGTGTGCGCAAGCGCAGTTTTTTAAAATGTATATAAAGTTCTCTCAATAGTGTCATTAAGAGCTCAATCATGTAGCAATTATTAGTGTTGCTGTTATTAAGGGGCATAGTCTATCAGTCATTGCATTACAGTAACCCATCATGTGAATGACTGATTATTTAGTCAAGGAAAACTTGTTGACAGATTCTAAATACTTTAAAATATTTGTTCACACACATTAGGCAAATTATTTCCTTAAAATTAATTTCCAACAATTGAGTTTCTTAATGAAGGAGTATGCAAATTTAAAACTTTCATAGTTTAACAGGCATCTCAAAGTTTCTACTAATTTATCTTGCTATAAAAACTATATAAAAATATCTACTTCCCTTACTCTGACACACTCTAGGCAGTATCAAACCTGCAAATCCCAAGTTCTTTTATACATCATAATTTCTTTTGTAAATTGTATATATGCTTTGGCAATTTTTCTGTAAACGATTTTTTCTTATTAGTTTATATTAACTCTGTATATTAAAATACTGGCCTTCTGGGCCTCCCTGGTGGTGCAAGGGGGTGCAAGGGGTTAAGATGCAACCCGTGAAGCTGTCCGCAGCCTCTGCAGTGCCCGTTTGATCCCTGGCCAGCCAGGGAGCAACCCACATGGTGCAGCAGACCTCTCCTGTCTCCCCTGCTGCTCTCCTCAGCAGTATATTTTGGTCCTTCTGCCTGTTCTGCTCCCCACTCTGTCTCTGGTGAATCTTCTCATCCCTCACACCTCTGGCCTGTACCCCATAAATAAATAAATAAATCAATAAATAAATAAATAAATAAATAAATAAATAAATAAATAAATCTTTAAAAATAAAATAAAATACTGGCCTTCTGTTACATGTATTAAAATATTTTTCCTACAGGGGCCTCCCGGGTGGCGCAGCGGTTGAGCACTGGGTTACGAAGCTGCCTGCAGCCTCTGCAGCGCTGGTTCGATCCCCGGCTGCTCCCTGGCCACCGGAGGAGGGTCCCACATGGTGCGCAGACCTCTCCTGCCGCCTGCTGCTCCCCTCAGCAGTGTCCTCTGTTTCTCTGCCTGTTCTGCTCCCTGCTCTGGCTCTGGTGAATTCTCTCACCCTCCCGAGCTTCTGACTGTACCCAGTGCTTGTATAATGAATGAATGAATGAATGAATGAATGAATGAATGAATGAATAAAATAAAAAAAAAACACAATCTTAAAAAAAAAAATTTTTTCCTACAATCTCACTTGTCTTTCAGATTTATATACAGCATCTTTTTTCTGTATAGAAACTCTATTCTAGTAGTCACATCAGTTATTTTTCTATTTGTATTTCACATTGAAGTTAAAAACTATTTCTCCACCCTATAGTTTTAAAAAACTGTTTTATTATGCTATGTTTTGTGATTTTTTTTTTACACTTAAATACATGTTGTGATTTATTTTTGTGTGTGGTGTGAAATAGGGATTAACTATTTTCTTCTCACAGATTCACCTACTAATCTGACATATTTTTAAAATGATTTTATCAGTTTCCCACTAATTTAAAATGCCATCTTAATCAAATACTAAATTTTCACATAGACGGAGGTCTGTTTTGAGATAGTCAACTCATTTTATTTCTGCAGGTTTATAACATGTTTTCACATGTAACAGTGCAGGCTCCATTCATTTTACCCTTGCAAATGAACTTGAGAATATTATCAAATTATATAATAATTTCATTCAATTTTAGGTTTCATAAGACATCTGAATTAATTTTACTACTTTGTATACTTAGAAATCATAGCTAATAGTCTAGCTATGTCGAGAGCAAGACAAAGATAAATGTATCACCAACTGAGTAGATGCATCTATTAAGTACCTACCTGATCTGGGACAGATCCCCTAATAAATTGTTCAAATAAATTGCATTTAATCCTCAAAACATTCCAGAATATATTTCTTCTCACTTTGTAAATAAAAACAATGATGCCAGAAGGAGAGGAAGACATTTTCCAATAACATATAGGGATTAAGTAATAGAGCTCTGATTAGAACCTTAGACCACTAAAATCAAATCCTTTATTCATAACTAAGTTTAAATACAGTCACTCAATGTAATTTTTATGCAATTTAAAATAAATTTTCAACTTGCCAAAATCTGGATTATTTCCTCTGGCCTTTTATCCTCAACTGGTATCCCATTCACTTCTCTTAGTTCATCACCAACATGAATAAGACCTGAGAAATAACAAATTTGGTGTCTTAGCAGTGTTAGCTACCAAAAAATGCTGTCATCTGCAAGCTTTTCTATACTAAAAGCATTGTTCAGTTCCTGTAGTACCTGTGTGGATTGGAAAAGAGACTTTCACACTTCTCAGGCTTCAGATTATCTGTCTCTATGACAGCAGTGAATCAAGACTACAACATAACAATGTTAGCAAAGAAATGACAACAGAATATTGCTCTTTCTCTAGAAATGCACACTATTTTCATGCTACAAAATAATTTTATTTTTTTAAATATTGCATAATTTTAATTAGTACTTTTCAATTGAGAAACTCTGAAACATGTCATAATAGAACTCTGGAAATCTATGTAAACTAAGAACATAAAGTAGAGCAAGCTTCATTTATCATTTATCTAAATAGGTCTCCACCTTTCAAAACAGAAAAAAAAATAAATCCCATTACTTGCTTTGCTATATTACATCCAAAGACTGTTCTCCTCTTAATCGTATATTGGAAATGTTAACCATTAAGCAGGCTATGACGCGTCTACACTCATTAAACACTGAAACTCTCACCACTTCTGTCTGCAGCTCCTCCTCTCATGATTCGAGCCACGATGATGGCCCCGCTCTGCTCATCTCTCTTAATGGTGGCTCCCTTTAAAAAAGAAATCAAAAAAGCTCTTGTGGGTAAATGTATATATTGAGAGGTAGTGGGGTAAGGGGACAGAAATAGACATTCATTTGGAAGACGTGAAATAAAAACTACAAAATAGTACAGGACTGCTGTTGGAGGAATCAACATTACACCATTTTGTCTCACAAGAACCCATTACAAGATACAGAATTTTCTACCTTATACCCTATCTAATGTTTTTATTTTTTTATATTTGTTATATATTTTTACATCAATGTTCTTTTTTCTCCATCTAATGTTTTCAATACAGTCTAAATTTTTTTTTTTTAAATCTTTCACCTCTTCACACTATGGGTAGTACAAGTATATTCTTTCCATTGTAAATTCTTATATTTGAATATTATTTGTTTTTTACCCTTTCAAAGCCTTTTCTTATTTTATTTCATCAGAACATACACAATGAAGAAGAAAGACTGTATATGTGGTTAAGTGAATAGAGAAAGATTATAAACTTTAGTTCAGTGGTCTGTTATACTATAATAGTAAGGGAATGCAATGATAATAAAGAAAATTGAAACTCCAAAATTATATACCCTACCCAAGGCTAAGACAAAATAATGGAAGAAAGATAGCTACTTCAGGTTTTTATGTACTAGGATTATACCCAGAACAAAAAAACTAACATTATACCCAGGACAAAAAAAAAAAAAAATTAACATTTTGGCATAAAGTTAGGAAACAATAACAAACAGAATGCAAAAACTGGTTTATTAATGTTCAGCAGCAAATTAACTGAACGCTGTTTGGTAAGAACGTCAGGCACAAATGTTAACTTTGAATGCCTGTTCATGATTTTTCTTCCAAGAAACTGGCATTGGTTTGGAAAACTAAGATGCAGATTAGGTGGGCACACAACTCCTTCAAACTGTGAGCAATAATTTATCATGGTTTTGGTCACAAAATTCTGTGGTGGTTTACAACACAGAATGAGGTAAGTGGAACAAGACTTTCTCCACCATGGGTCATACTCCTTTTTAGTACAGGATCATGCAGTGTGTTGTGCATAACACTAGTCCCTTTGATTTTATTCTGTGATTCAGTGAAGTTAATGAATGGTCACCAAGACCTACCACGTGCCAGGTTCTGTTCTAAGGGCTTGTGAGGCAATGATGAAAACAAACAAACAAAAAAACCCAAAGATTTCTGCCTCCTTAAGGGACATACATTCTAACAGGAGTCAAACAATAAGCAAAAGATTCAATAATTAGATTATTTGTAGGTATTGTAAGGACTCTAGATTTTACTCTGAAAAGGAAAACCTGCAGGGTTCTGAAGCAGGAGTGATAGAATCTAAAAGGAACACTCTACCTGTGTTGAGAAAAGAGCCAACAAAGGCAAGGGCCAAAGCAAGGAAACAAAGAGGAGGATGTTACAATAATCCCAGGGAAGAAGATGGAGGTTTCCATCTTACTGGCAGGAACAGTGGTAAAGACAAGTGTCTGGATATATCAATGGTTGAGCCAAAGGATTTCCCAATGGATTAGAAATGGAATGTGAAAGAGCAGTATCAAAGACTGACTCCATGGTTTTTGGCTGAGTAACTAAGGATGGGATTGTCATCAAGTAAGTGGAAGAATCCTATGGGTAGACCAGATTTGGGGACACAGATCAGTTTACTTCTGGACATGTCAAGATTGAGATGTCTATTAGACATGCAAATGGAGATATCAAGTAGACAGATAAACATAAAAATTTAAAGATCAGAAGAAAGGTCTGGAAGAAAAATAGCCCTGGGAATCATTGACACACAGATGGTTTTTAAAGTCAAGAACTGGGTGAAATCAGTTCCAAATGAAGGAAAAAAAAAAAACCACTTTAACATTTATGGGTATTTTGTCATAGATATGCACTCTCAAGTAGACCACGCTTGCTAATTGCTGATTTGATAGCTCCTGGAGGATCAACACCGACCTGAGGAAAGACATCTCACTGTCTATATAATACTAACACTTGACTTACCCTTATTTTTTGATGCCTTCATTCTTGAGGATTTCTACTTCCCTGCTTCCCAAACTCCTATTAGCACAAATCTCTTAATGTATTCCTAATGCAATGTGCTTGAATAAAAATAACATCAAAATTCATGCTATGAGTGAGACCATCTGGTATTTTTCTTTTTCTTTCTGGCTTATTTCGCTGAGCATAATCCCTTCCAGTTTCATCCATGTGCTGCAAACTGCATGAGCTTATCTTTTTTGATTGCTGAGTAATATTTCATTAAACCAGAGACACAATACGGGGGGGGGGGCGGTAAGGAGAGAGTAGGATGAAAACAAGGGGGGTGGGAATTGTATGGGGACTATAACCATGATGAAAATGCATACATTGTGCATAAATGAAAAATGATGTAAAAAATATATAAAATCAAAAAAATCAAACTCAATAAAATAGTTTATGTGATACCACAGGAAAGTTAACAGTCCTATGACAGTCTACAAATGCAAAATGAATTTAATTGAATGTTTTAAAACTTACCTATTTTCTTGCATACTTAAGTTGAATTTATTTTATGTTAATTTTGACAAAGTGCAGTACAGAAAACTTCAGCTTAAGGTAATTACTATTTATAGCCATTTTATTTGCTTCAGTTTTTTTTTTTCCAAATCATATTCTATTAGATGTAAATGTTCCATTCATTTTAACTTTTGAGGACACAGAGGAAGCATATTTTAGAGAAGAATAAATGGTATGTGCTCATTAAATTTGTCCTTATCACAATATCTACTCAGATTTTCACATTAATTATAGACCAAAATTTACCAGTGGTTCTCTATTTTTGACCAGACGAATGATCTTTACTGAGTCCTCCTCCTCATCAATATCATCAGGCATAGGAGGCAGCACAGGGTCGTAACTCTTCTGAGCCACAGTGTCATGTACAGAGAGCAAAGCCTGACAGAGCCAAAAGTTAGGGACAAAGTATTAATAAATACGAAACGCAAAGACATCGACCTATAAAGAGAATCAGAGTGGGGTTATAATATACATCTGTTGGGCCTCCCCAGTGGCGCAGCGGTTGAGCGCTGGGTTGCGCAGCTGCCCGCAGCCTCTGCAGCGCCGGTTCGATTCCCGGCTGCTCCCCGGCCACCGGAGGAGGGTCCCACATGGCGCACAGACCTCTCCTGCCGCCCGCTGCTCCCCTCAGCAGTGTACTTCAGTCCTTCTGCCTGCTCTGCTCCCCGCTCTGGCTCTGGTGAATTCTCTCACCCTCCTGCGCTTCTAACTGTACCCAGTGCTTGTATAAACAAATAAATAAATGAACAAATAAATAAAAATAAATAAATCCAAAAAAATAAAAATAATATACCTCTGTTATATCTTGACATAATGTGGTAAGAAGGCCACTACGTGAAAAGGGGTCACTTTCAAACAGGGAGTGTGCAGAACAATAGGACACTCTATTTGGCTGCCACCCCAAGCCCCAGTGCCATTAACGTATGACAGGAGTCAGCATACAATGTCCTCTAACCTTATATTCTCTGGTCCATCCTTAGGAGGATGGCTGTTGTGGGCAGGTGTGTCTCTGTCTGTGTTAGGGGTGGGAACAGGAAGGGTATGTGTTACCTTTGAGAGGGAGGAATGAGACCATAGTGCAAGGCCAAGGTGACAGTCTGAGAATACCACACAGGTTACACAATCCACACAACTTTCATTCTTTTTTCTCATTTCTAAATTTTGTGTGCAATACAATAGATGACTAACCTGTATGAAGTAATAAAAGAATTTCTAGTCATGACTGATTTGGTGGTAAAACACCACAAAACATGGTCATACTGGTCTTAGGGACCAAAAATAAGGAAAACATGGGCACCCTGACATGCAGCAAGCAAGCTGCAGACTTTCAACTAACCGTTCCCTCCTCAGTGACGTCGTGACCCAAGAGTCACACAAGCAAGAAACCTGGAGATATCCTTGAAGTTTCTCTTCTCACATATACTCCCAACAGCCAATACCTGGCCTGGTAAATCTACAAAAGATACCTTTAAATTCTGTACCTTGATGAAGGGCTGCTGAACTCAGCCACCTGCTTTTTGTAAGTGAGGTTTTACTGTGACACAGACTTGCTCTTTCATTTATGTATTGTCTATGGCTACTGTCATCCTACAGTCACAAGACAGAGCAGCAGAACACTGTTCACATAAAAATTTGTTAGATCATTTATGTCATCATGTTTTGCCTGGAGCATCACAACAGCTTCCAAATGGTGCCACTGTGTCCGCCATTGGTCCATTTTCAAACTTATGATTCACAATATAGACACAGTGATTACTTTAGAATTTTATCACCTAATTAGCCTACCAATATCTCCTGTAAAGCTGTTCACTGGCCTTGGATGAAGATCAAACTCTTCTACATATCCTAAACATCTCACATGCCTCTAAAACCTTTACTACTCTCCTCATCACTCAGCGAAAACTACTCTTTCTCATATAGAGACCTGGCCAAAATAGCCAATATAAAGGTAAATCCCACAGTTATTTGATTTCATAATACCTCCTTCTTTGTCTTTATATATGTTCACAACATATAACCATCTATGCACTTTATGCTTTTATGTTTAACAGGTGTTATCCACTGAAACAGAAGCTCTAAGACGAGAAAGAAATGATGTCTATATTAAAAATCAAATCCTTTCCCTATCTCACATATATGTAGAGAAAAACAATTCATAAAAGTACAGCATGATGACTCTGCAAAACAGAATACTCCCTGCAATGAGCAGTAAATGAGACCTAGAGATCTAATGCACAGTATAATGAATATAGGCAATATTGAATTATAATTCTCAAATATGCTGAGACTTTAACTTATTATTCAAACCATTAAAAAAAATAATTTTGTAACATGATAGGAGTGCTGTAACATTACAATGGTGATCTTATTACAATATGCAAATGTATCAAATTAACATGTTGTGTACCTTAAAATTACACATTGTATAAAAAAAATACTTCAGTTAAGATGTGGTATATATACACAATGGAAAGCTATTCAGCAATCAAAAAAAGATAAACTTATGCCATATGCAGCAACTTGGATGGAGCTCGCAGGGATCATGCTCAGAGAAATAAACCAGAAGGAAAAAAAAAATATCAAATGGATAGGCGGAATATAGGGGAACCAAATAAGGGATCAGGAAAAACAACAACAAAAAAAAAACAAAATTAGCACACAACCATAAATCAAAGACATTCTGCAAGGACTGTGGTGATGATTCATGGGTGAATTGGTGGTGGGAATTTTATGGGGACTATACAATGGCATAAAAGATAAATATAAAAATAAATTTAAAAAATAATTTACCTAACACAAGTACAAAAAAAATACTTCAGTTAAAAATAATATATCCATGTAAACATGGCTAAAAATATATACTGCGTTAACAAAACCCCAGAACCCCAAAAGTATGCAACTTCTCTCTCACCTGCCAAGGTGATAGTTTACCTCTATTTGAAAATCACATGAATAGAATTATAAGCACATGTTCACTAATTCCCTGACGTTAAGTTAGTGAGATTCATTTGTGCCATAACTGGTAGCAGCAGTCACGCATTTTTCATAGTAATGTGTATTCCAGCATTGGATTATTTCAGTTTCTTTACCCATATCTTCGAGTAGTCTTTACTAAGCTTTCAGCTCTTGGCTATCATCAGTAATGGTGCTATAAATATTTCACTTCTCTTGATGTACCTATATATCCATTTTGAATACCTATATTTAAGATTAAAATGACTAGGTCATGGGTTATAAGAATTTTAACATTAGCAGAGACAATTACCTTTCTTTTTTGCATTTTTTTTTTAACCTGAGGTAACATTGGTTTACAACACTGTATGTGATTCAGAATTATAGGTTCACACACCTCTCAGAGATAGCTTACCACACCACACCCATCATCAAAGCACTCCTAATCCTTCAGCATATCCATGGGGCCACTTCCCATTGTTAATGGCAGTAACTCCTGCCCCTCCTATGGCCTCAATTCTACAGTCAGATTTTTAGGGCTTGTACTCATTTGGTTTGTCTGTCACTCGGTTTTGTTTCTCTATATTGCATATATGAAAGAGACCATCCAGTATCTGTCTTTCTCATTCTGACATACTGCACCTAACATAATTCTCTGCAGGTCCATCCATGTTCTAGCAAATGGCAAGAATTCATTTTTGTTTTTTTTTGTATAGCTAAATGGTATCTCATTCCATTCCATTCCTCGTCTTCTTAATTCGCTGATAAGTTTTGGGCATTTAGGTTAGTTCCATAACTTGATTACTTTCAACTTCGCTATTATAAACAGGGCTGCAGTGCATATATCCCTTCAAATTAGTGTTTTCACATGAACAGGAAGATACATTCAACATTCTTTGTTTTAAACTTTTGGTATTTTCATGACTATTGTCTTGGTGTCAGTCTCATTACAGTTGGATAACCAAGTGTTCTTTTAGCTTCAATGATTTGTATTTCCAATGAAAAAGAAAAATTTTAAATCATCCAAACAAAAAAGCACCTATTTTAAAAAAGGTAAAATAACAACACTTTCCATTTAGAAGCCATGTTTCTATAAGACAACAGAGCCACAAGAAAAGAGAGCAACACCTTTAATATTCTGTCAACCTAAAATTGTATGCCTAGGTAAAAAATACCTTTTAGAAATGAAGGGATAGTGAAGCTGTGTATTTTTTGTTTGTTTTGTTTTTTGGGTTTTTTTTATTTATTAAATTTATTTATTTATTTAAAATAAATTTTATTTTAATATTCCCCATACAATTGCAGCCCCCTTATTTTGACCCCAATCCCTCCCCTCCCCACCCCTACCCCCTTAGAGTGTCTCTGGTTCATAGTTGTTTGTTGATTTTGATTTTCACTTTCTTATAGTTACTCATTTTCCTGGTCCCTTATTTAAGTTTTCTAGATTCCTGCTATGAGTGAGACCATCCGGTATTTTTCTTTTTCTTTCTGGCTTATTTCTCTGAGCATGATCCCTTCCAGCGCCATCCATGTTGCTACAAATTGCATGTGTTTATCTTTTTTGAATGCTGAGTAATATTCCATGGTGTATATGTACCACATCTTCTTGATCCAGTCATCTATTTTGGGGCATTTGAGTTGTTTCCAAAGCTTAGCTATTGTAAACAGTGCTGCTATAAACATAGGGGTGCAGGTGCTCTTTGGAATTGATGTTTCTGTGTCCTTTGGGTAAATACCTAGGAGTGGAATTGCTGGATTACATGGAAGCTCTATGTTTAGTAGGCCCAGAAATCTCCACATGAAGCTTTGTATTATTAAAGACATACAAAAGCTGTAAGGGTTTATTACCAGCTGACTTGGATTAGAAAAAAAAAGTATTTTAAGAAGTCTTTCAGAAAGCGGTCATAACAGCAGATGGGAATATGGATTGATATGGAGGTATGAAGAATACCAGATGTGTTCCACAATCTGCATACTTATGGTAACTGATTATTATAATTGATAGGTAGTATTAATAAGACCAGCTATGTATTTTCCCTCCTTAACTTTGTACTCATTCCCATGTTTGGATTCCAAAATACACTTGTAAGATTTATAGATATCAAGGTTATCATTCTTTTTTTCTTTTCTTTGTTTTAAGATTTGTTTATTTATTTATACAAGCACTGGGTACAGTCAGAAGCGCGGGAGAGTGAGAGAATTCACCAGAGCCAGAGCGGGGAGCAGAGCAGGCAGAACGACCGAAGTATACTGCTGAAGGGAGCAGTGGGTGGCAGGAGAGGTCTGCAACCCATGCAGGACCCTCCTCTGGTGGCCAGGGAGCACGGGGGATCAAACCAACACAGCTGAGGCGGCGGGCAGCTTTGCAACCCAGGGCTCAACTGCTACACCACGGGGGAGGCCCAAGGTTATCATTCTTAACAGCT